CCCCGCTCCCCAGCCCCGGGATCCCCCTCGCACGCATGGGAGCAGCTTTCCCTCCAGGGCAGGTGGTTTTCTGTTGGGGTGGGGGCGCTTTAGGACCGCGCTGTCATTTCCTCGAGCTCCGCCATCCATAGGAAGCGTCCCCCCCCTCCATCCCCTCCCTTTCCCAGCGCTCCTCCGAGGATGAACTTTTCGCTCATTGTTCTTTGGCAGGTACTTTTAATGGGCTGGAAAATATTCTTCCTGTGAAGTTGCAGTTTTGCGGGGCTTGAATGAGTCCAGTCCTCCCCTGGCTCTGCCCAGCGCCACCGATTGGCTCGGCAGCCCGGGGGGGACCGATAAGGGCGGCTATAAAACGCTCGCAGCTCGCGGTCCCCCAGCGAGCAGCAGCCAGAGGGGCCACCCGGATCCTCCGCACATCCCTGCGCTCATCCCCGGCCTCGCCAGGATCCTCCCTCCTTCCTTCCCTGCCTCGCATCCAGCTCCACATCTTCGCTCAAGCCCGAGTGCAAGAGGAGAGGCGCACACATCCAAAAAAAAAAAAAAAAAAAAAAAAAAAAAAAAAAAAAAAAAAGAAAAAAAAATCAACCACTCAAAAAAGAAAAAGAAAAAAAAAAAAGGGAAAAAAACTAAATCAAGCCAACCCCACACTTAGCGGAAACTTGTCAAAGAATGCTCCTAAAGTCTGGTTTTCTCCTGCTGCTGCTGATCAGTGCATCCGCATCCCACGAAGCCGAGCAGAATGACTCTGTGAGCCCCAGGAAAGCGCGGGTGGCGGCGCAGAACTCAGGTAACGCCGCAGCCCCGCTGCCCTCAGCTGCCTCGCATTTCTCTGCTGCTGGTTTTTCTTCTTCTTTTTCATTTTCCCCCCTTTCCCTTCCCCTTACAAACTCACCGGCTGGCAGCAGGAATGTTCCTTCCAGGGCTGGTGCAGGAATCTCCTGGAGCAGCGAGGATGCGATCCGGGCTCTCCCCTCCTCCCGCAGCTCCCCGGGGAGTTCCGTGCACTTTTTATCATTTTTATTCTCCTGCTTGCATGCATCCCTGTCCCTCCCCCTGTGCAGCGCTGCTCTGGGGTTAAACCTTTGCTTTTTAGGAACTTGGTGGGATCCGCGGCGCTGGGACTGCCCCATTGTTCTGGAACATCTCTGTGTTCGAAGAGGGGCAGCCTCGGAGGAATGCATAACCCAGAAAGTGTCACAAACCGATCGCTATCGGGCAGCTGCCGCTGTAAAAATACATCAGGGACATTTCCCAAACTTGCTTCCACAATGGAGAGAAAAAAAAATAAATAAAAAATTGCTTTGGATGTGCGGACTTTGCCGCTTAGATAACTTGGCGACATTGTGTGGAACAATGGGAATTAAAAATCCGCCTCTACTGTACTGCAAAGATATTAACGCTCCGGTTCGGGGCTCATTAGCAGCTGCCTTATTTTAGCTCTGAGGCTCTGCGGCGCTGGAGCGGGGTGTTTGCTCCATTTGCTTTTGTATTTGGTTGCTATAGGAACGTGGGGTCTCCCCTCGCACCGCGCCTGAGACAATCAGAGCGCGCCCGGACTCCGCTGCGAGCGAAGTTCTAATTGGAACCTGTGGAAAGCTAATTATGGGGCTGGCTCGTGCTGCGGGAGGCTGTGAACCGGGGAGGGGATGAATTACCGAATATTCCTCCCTTCAGGCACGTCAGCAGCAGCGCGGAACGAGCAGGGGTTAATTGGGGGGATTTTTTTTAATATTATTTCTTCTTTTTTTTTATTCGGGGAAAATCCCGGTTGTAAAGAATTCTCTTTAGGATGCAAGTTAGGTTTAATAAGGTGTGTTCTGTCGCGCTTAAGGCTCCCTTTCCCCACACCAGGGGACCCTGGCCTCGCGTTTCTCCCCCAGGAATGTCTGGTAACCTGAGCTGCAGAGCCGCGAACGTGCCTTGCCCGTTCGCTGGGAGGGGACAGATGCTCGGCTCGCCCAGAAAGGTTAATCCCGGCTAATTTCAGGGCAATCATGTGGCAATTCTGCTGATTCATTGTTAAAATGCCCTGGATGTGCTCGGAGGGAGCCGGGATGACACGGACACCCTCGTGCTCAGCCGCGCCGCTGCCTCGGGCTGGAATCATCCTTGGAGCGGCGTTACCTGAACTTTCCCGGCCCGAATTCCCCTTCCCCTCCCGAATCTCAGCAGAAATTCCCCTTTTTGGCTGTACCTGCCAGCTCCCGGGGCAGTTTTAGCTCCAAGCTGCCGGATCGAGTCCTTTTGGGTGCTGAGAATTGAGTCTCAAGCTCAAATCTTCTTTCTAGGTAATTCAGCATTTTAGAAAATCACGAATGCCTCCCAATAAGTGCAGTTTCCTGCCAACTTGTTGGCATTTGCCAGCACTTCCACCTCATTTTCCAGTGGTTTTGTGAGCCAAGGCTGCTCTCCAAGGAGAGCCCTCAGCACCCAGGGCTTTCCATGGCCCATCCTCATCCCCGCTCCTGCTTTAGAGGGAATTGGGATAAAGATGTGAATGCCTGAAGACAGAATGGGGTTGGGATGGGGAAATTTGGGTCCCCATCTCAGCAAGGAGTGTGAGGTGCTGCCTCTTCTAATCCGTGTGTGACCCTCGAGGGCTTTGGTAGCTGGAATTTCTGTTCTTTGGGGTGCTGGTCGTGTCCTCAGAGAATCATAGAATTGTAGAATCCCGGAGTTGTAGAATACTGGGATTGTAGAATCCTGGAATTACAGAATCATGGAAGTGTAGAATTCTGGAATTGTGGAATTCTGGAGTTACAGAATCCTGGAATTGTAGAATTCTGGAATTGTAGAATCCTGGAATTGTAGAATCCTGGAATTGTAGAATCCTGGAATTGGAGAATCATGGTATTGGAGAATCATTGAATTGTGGAATTCTGGAATTATAGAATCATGGAAGTGTAGAGTCATGGAATTATAGAATCGTGGGATTGTAGAATCATGGAATTACGGAATCATGGGATTGTAGAATGGTGGAATTATAGAATCGTGGGATTGTAGAATTCTGGAATATAGAATTATGGAATCCTGGAATGGTTTGGGTTGGAAAGGGACCTTAGAGCTCATTCCATCCCCAGCCATGGGCAGGGACACATTCCACCATCCCAGGGTGCTCCAACCTGGCTGGGGACACTTCCAGGGATGAGGAATCCTCATCCTCTCTGGGCACCCTGTCCCAGGGCCTCGCTGCCCACCAAGGAACGATTTTCTCCCTAACATCTGACCTAAATCTCTCCTCTTTTAGCTTAAAACCAATCCCAGCCGTTCTAGCACCGTGCATATAAAATCTCTCTTTCTTTTTTATAATCTGCTTTTCTGCACCAGGAGGGGCTCTGAGCTCTCCTTGGAGCCTTCTCTTCTCCAGCTTGGGCAGGATTTTTGGGTCTGGGCAGGATTTTGGGGTCTGATCAGGATTTTTGGGTCTGGGCAGGATTTTTGGGGTCTGATCAGGATTTTTGGGGTCTGATCAGGATTTTTGGGTCTGGGCAGGATTTTTGGGTTTGGGCAGGATTTTTGGGGCTGAGCAGGAATTTTGGGGCTGAGCAGGATTTTTGGGTTTGGGCAGGATTTTTGAGGGCTGGGCAGGATTTTTGGGGCTGGGCAGGACTTTTGGGGTTGAGCAGGATTTTTGGGTCTGAGCAGGATTTTTGGGGTCTGGGCAAGATTTTTGGGGCTGAGCAGGATTTTTGGGACTGGGCAGGATTTTTGGGTTTGAGCAGGATTTTGGGGGGCTGGGCAGGACTTTTGGGGCTGGGCAGGATTTTGGGGGCTAAGCAGGATTTTTGGGGGCTGGGCAGGATTTTTGGGGCTGGGCAGGATTTTTGGGTCTGGACAGGATTTTTGGAGCTGGGCAGGATTTTTGGAGCTGAGCAGGATTTTTGGGGCTGAGCAGGATTTTTTGGGGCTGAGCAGGATTTTTGGGGCTGGGCAGGATTTTTGGGGCTGAGCAGGATTTTTGGGGTCTGGGCAGGATTTTTAGGGCTGAGCAGGATTTTTTGGGGCTGGGCAGGATTTTTAGGGCTGAGCAGGATTTTTTGGGTTTGGGCAGGATTTTTGGGTTTGGGCAGGATTTTTGGGGCTGGGCAGGATTTTTGGGTTTGGGCAGGATTTTTGGGGCTGGGCAGGATTTTTGGGGTCTGAGCAGGATTTTTAGGTCTGGGCAGGATTTTTGGGGCTGAGC